ATACTGAGCTTGGTTTTGCTAGAGATTTATTTCTGTTAAAAGGAAGTTTTTTTTCTCTCCACTGTCACTGCATGCATGCTTGGTGTGAGGGATAGCTGCAGAATTAGCGACACAATGCAAGCAAATATCTACTGACACATGCTCGTCTAGGAGCAGAGTATCCTGCAAAGTCAGTGACTCTATGCAATCTATGCAAAACTTTGAGCTGCCATTGTTTCTGTGGACCAAGTTAACCCTCGTGAAGGGGACAAAAAAGTGAGATAATCCGGAGACAATCTGGGGCTCCAGAAACAGGAACTGAGATCAGGTTCACACAGTGGTTCTGAAGTGAGATGGCAGCTTGGAAAAAGCTTTCTGCATTCTGATTATTGAATGAGGACTTACAGGGAGACCAAATTGATTCTTCCAGGAGCAGATGAATAAGGTCCAGGAGGTCAGGCTGCAGTTAGATTTGATCCATTTCAATATCTAATGAGTAAAATGGAACAATTATCTTACATTTCATCCCAATAGTTTGATGTGGTGAGGGGTTTCAAAATAAAAGTGCACCATGTAGTCCAAACAGGTTAGATAAGATTGAGATAACACCTGAGGATAAATAAACTTTAAGCTACAAATAAGAAAAATCTTTAGATTAGATCCAAACTAAGCTTTAATGAACAGAATATTTTATTACCAGAGTTAACAAACAAATTTATATCCCTTTAGGATTAATGAAGTATTATTGAATTGAATTAAATTGAAAATCAAAAAGGTCATATCTGTTGTATCTGTGGTAATAAAAATAGACAGATCATTTAAATGATGAGGGGAATGAATCCGGTGCTGAAAAATAAATCAAAACCACCCCCTAGTGGTAATGTGCTGTGACTGTGAAGGCAATGTGGCTGCCTTGTTGTATCCTCTCAAATTTACAGTGCCTTGACAAAATAAGTTCATCCCTCAAAGTTGACCTTTTATTTGTGACATAACAACAAAACAGTTCAGAGTATGTTTCTTTAAAATAAGATGACGAATTACACAAAGTGGAGAATAATTGTGATCAGGCAAGGATATGGTTTTTGCAACTTTTGAAAAAAAGAAGAAAGAAAATCAAAGTGCATCCTCCTTCAGTGAAATTAAATCATGCTTAGAAATACAATCCTTCAAAAAATAAAAATTGAATACATCATGTGGACTTAAATTGGTAATATTAACAAAAATGATAAAAAAATATGTTATCAATATGGATATACCGGTATGTTTCCAGTCACACCTAATAATCATAAAAACACTACAAAATATATTCAAGTCATCAAAAATAACACTTCTAATCTAATAAAATGCATATTATCAGCATGGTGTGTTGTGCAGCCTTAGTTATTAATCCACTCTGTAAAGTAAGGTCAAAAAAACAAACAGAAAACTTCTAAAACATAAGCCGAATCTTCCCATCCCTCCCAAAGCATTTATCAAGGAAACAGCCAATGGAATCATGACTCTAGATAGCACATACGTTTTTAATCTTAATTTAAAGAAAAGTAGGGCTTCAGCTCTTTTGCAGTGAATGAGAGTTTAATCCAGATTAGTGGAGCATAAGAACTAAAAGCTGCTTCTCCTTGTTTGCCTTTGTTTCTGGGCAGGCAGTGTAGATTCTAGCCAGACCAGACCAGACCAGGTCTGAGTGGTTAATAGCAAAACTGTAATGCATTTTGGTGCTAAGCCATTCGTTGATTTACATACTAATATAAGAATTTTCAAATCTATTATTCACTGAGATTTGAGGAGCAAGAAGAAGAACTTTAGAACTGGGGTGAAGTGCTTCATTTTCTTAGTTAAGTAAGCAGTGCTCTGGATCAGCTGCAGCTGTCTACTTTTTATGCAGCTTTGTGAAGACATCATTGCAGTAATCAATTCTACTAAAGATCAACGCATGAATTAGTTCTTCAAGGTCCTGCTGAGACATTTTTCCTTTAATTCATGATTTTTTTTACATTAAAGAAAAAAGGCTGGCCTTGTTACCTTGTCTTTATATGCATCAGATGGTTCAGGTCTGACTGGTATTTTCTAGCTGTATTAACTAAAGCTCTGTGCTTTGCCCAAACATTATTATTTCACTTGTTTTTTTGTTTTTTTTTTTTTGTTTGTTTTTTTAGCTAAAGAAATGTTTGCATATCCATGCATTGGTTTATGCATTTACTCAGAGCTTGAATAGATCCAGAGTCACAAGCTAACATCATAATGTATAGCTGTGTGTCATCTGCACATTTAAGCTGCCATATGTTGTTTATTATAATATTTTTTTTGTTGCTTTTTTTTAGGGGGGAAGCATGTAGATATAGAATATAAGGGGCTCTACGATGGACCTATGGTGAGTGTCATGGGATTTTTCTAGTCTCTAAACTCACTCACTGATAGAAAAGTATCTGACCATCAAGAAAGAGTAAAAAATGAAAGAATGAAGATAGAATGAAAGTTATATACCAGCTCATCCACAGAGTTAAAGGGCGAAGCGGAGGAAGAAAGGTAGCTCTGGTTAAAGGTTCCAGTAGCATCATAGTGTAGTGATGACCTGTGACTCTCAGCTAACTCTCAGGTTATCTCTATGTTTGGTGCAGCTGTTTGCAGCATTCTTATGGTTACTGATGGTGCTCCATGTTCTCTGCTGGAGGACAAAGCTGCTAGCAGATTATTTACTGAATAGTAGAATTTAAACCAAACAAGTTTCTCAGCTATTATCGATACCTCCAACTGTATTCAGCAAATGGATGATATTATTCAACATTTTAAAAACGTTAATGGCTCCAAAGTGTAGGATAAGATTTTCTAGGCTGGGTGCCGTTCTGTGATTACACATTACTGGTATACTCATAACTGTGTTTTTCTTTTTGCAGTTGTTTTTAATCTAATTCTAACCCACTTTTTCTGGTAGCTTATGAGAAGAGTGTTTTGAATAAAGGGAGGCATCTTTTGCTGATTCGTCAACTTATCCTTCTTTCATTTTTGATATAAAAAGCATGGTGAAATTCTGAAAAAAAAATGAAAACATGAAAAAACCAGTTACTGGTATGAAGTAGTTTTTGTCAAACCTTTTCTTAATTTTGTGTAGGAGTTAAGGGTAGAGGAACACAAGCAACCAGGGAGCTGGGAGAAAAAGCAATATGACCTTTATTACATACAGATTTAAAGATTCTGACATGTATGTCATTGTTTGACCATTTGAAGCCCTATAAGAAAAAAATCTTAATTAGTTGATTAGTTTGGGCCCAAATGCAGCTGGACTAGTAATAATTATCTTTATTAGTCAGTGCACCTTACAATGAAATGTGCCTGCATACTGTATAACCCATTACCCTTAAAGATCCATAAGCAGCTCACAGAATGAAGCAATTTTGGAGCTAATGCTTTTTTCTCAGGGACCCAAATAACTGGTTAGTGGTGCGTCTCTTAGGATCCAAGTGCTGCACTCTTAACACTGGACCACCACCACCCATAAGACAAAAAAACTAATTAAGGATTCCCTTCAATGAAAAGGTGTGAAATTAAAAAAATTACTGTGATTTGGACCCTACACTATCTGACTTTACTTGGTCAGGTAAGGATAAGGTTCTAGTAATCTGATCCAATCTAGCAGAAACAAATGCATGAATAAGGATTTCAGCAACTCTGCTTAAAATGACTGTACTTAGGTTTGTAATATATTGTAAGTGATAAAAACATGGGTGAACCAGGAAGCAACAAGGCCATCAAAAGTAAAACCTCTATCAAAATGTAACCCAAGATCCTGCTGGAAGATTTGGCATAGGAGATTTAAGGAGCAAAAATTCCCAATATTATATTTGTAACACTTACTGGCTCACAAACAAGAATATAAATTGTATATTTATTTCAATAGAGAACGTTTTTTTGCTTTAAAACAGTCTAAAAACCTATGAAATGTGTGTTTCGGTACCTTATGAAGCATAACAGAAATGAAAAACTGAATGCCATTTTTTGTAAAAATGGTATAAAAAAAACTATGAAAGTGTAAAATATGTTTAGGAGCAGGACAAACATCTCATTATTTTTATTTAGCAAAATAGGCTAAAAACGTAAAAAAAGTATCACTATGCTGTCACTTCTCAGTAATTTGAACTTAAATAAATATCATAAAACAGCTTGTAGTTTGTGGATGGGGAAAAAAAATGGAGAATGTTCAGGGTTATTAATATTTTCACATGGAACTTTGATTTTTTATTTTTTTTTTCTCTTTACCCAAGTAGGCATCAGTGAAATAACGCTGATTTTTAGATGATTAAAAAAAGTACCTAAAATGTTTTTTTTTAATTATTATTATTATTTTTTAGGTGCTACAGATGTAATAAATCAAAACAAAAGTCTACAAACGTTCTTCGCTTACCCGTACTCATCGTGGTTTGTTCGGCCAAGTTTGTCATTGTGGTTCTGCAAATTGGTTCTGTTTTTTTATATACATTTTTATTGCATTTTTTTTATACATATCTGAAAAAATGTACGATTCTGATTAAATTTGTTCCTCTGGGGTGGCAGAGCGCAAATGAAAAGACAGCAGGATTAAACACATAATGGATCAAGCATAAGCAAAGTTGGAGTAAAGTTAATAGAGCAATGCAGCTGATGCGCCTCTTTTAATATCATCATCATATACACTGAATGTCTGAGAGAAGAAATTATGCATTGATTTAATATAAAATCACACATTTTCATTTATAATCATCTGGCTGTTGGCTGCCACCGACAAATAATTACTATTAGGGATTTGCAGACATATCTAGAATGATTAGTTTAGGGTCTTTACCAGCGGTGCTGTGGTTAAGCCTATTGCAGGTCATGAGTTGACTGTGAGTTTTTGTGGCATTCTCAATGAAAAGCCCCCTGTCATCACTATTACTGAGGCGCTTTAATAGTTTTGTATTTTCAGCAGATTCCCCTTTAAACACAAAACTCATCCTCTGTGATTGGTTGCAGCTCAGCAGGCTGCATTGTTCCATCAGGCCGTTTGTTCGCTCCGTTTCCTGCACACAAACAAAACTTTCCTGCCTTCCTGGGCAATATTGGGCTCCCCTGTGCTTTGACAACCTGGAATATTGGATTCCCTCACTATTTCTGAGGAAGAGAAAAACTAAAAGGTATGCAATCACTTCTTTTGAACATTTGCATTTTTCTTCATTATTTTAGAAGAGTTTTTCCTTCTCTTAATGCTTTCTGAATTGATGATTTTCTCTTAAAAGCATAGTGGAAAGGTTCTGCTTTACATGAAATATTCCCAAAAACTTGTAATGTTTTTAGGAATGAGTCATTCATTCTAGCTAGAATATTAGTTTGCTTAGTTTACCTCCTGTTTGGTATTTGTAAAATGATTACTGATTTATTCTGAGGCAAACATGTTTAACATCATGGAGTAATTCAATCTGACATTGATAAAAGGTTGAAGTATTAGATCTAATTAGATCCAACTTCCTACATGCATCTGCTTCTGGTTGGTTCCATATTTTGAACCAGTCAGATGTGGCTAAGCCCTGACCTGCCCTTTGTTTTTTCTTCTATCAGTATATATTGGCAGGATGTACAGCTTCATGGGAGGAGGGTTATTCTGCGCTGGAATTGGGAACATACTCCTCATTGTTTCTACAGCAACGGATTACTGGATGCAGTACCGCCACTCCAGTAACTACATGCACCAGGGCCTGTGGCGGTACTGTGTGCCTGGAAAATGTATGACGCACACAGACAGCATCGGTAAGACTCAGTCCATGCAGGGTGAAGATCATCATACATCAGTCTCTGACAGTTTTGCATCAGGATTCTTGCTTTCTTTTAAAAAAAAATTTGAAAAGTTGCAATACTCATGTTGTAAATTATGGATTCGATCTAAACACATTTAAAATGTCTTTATTTCAAATGGATGCTCCAGTAAAATCAACACTTACAAGTCAAGACAAAACTATTTCTGAGTCATTGTCTGCTGCAGCACTTAAAACTTTATTAATCCCATTGGACAAACACCCTCTACCTCTAAGATATGTTATCCTATGCAAAATGTAAGGAAACAAAAGATCTGAATGAACAATAATCGTTGACCAGTAAGGAAACTTACAAATAACACATTGCAAAATTAAAATTGTAGAAGAACAATCAAATAGATCAATATATCAAAGGATTGGAGAAACATTCATAACAACTCTATACAGTGAAAAAAAGTAAAAAAAAAAAAAGCCATAGCAAAAGAAATATATAAAAAGATGTATTTAAAAACAATGGCTTAAGAAAAAGATGTAAAAAGCAAACTAGAAGCTGATTGAATAGACAACGCTTAACTAGTCCGCTGCTAACATTACAGTGTAATGTAGAAAAGAGAATTTTTTTTATTTTAGAAGAATATATATGTCCAACGTATGAACAGTCCTAAAGGTCTAACACGGATTGTGCTTTTTTAAAGATGATCACTCTGCCTGTTCTAATGCCATAACTTTTTATGCTTTTTAAATACCATATTTGTTTTATCTCAATCCCTAATATATATATATATATATATATATATATATATATATATATACATTCAGTAAGTTTATTTAAAAACCACCACCACCCATAATTAAAAAAAAATCTTTTAACATCTCTGTGGTTGCTTTCCTTTCTCATAATAGGACCATTTGACAAATGGAAATATATGAAGGATTCCCTCCATGTAACAGAATATAAAATTCCATGCACAAACCCAGACATTAAAAAAAAAATCTCTCTTCCTGCAGCGTATTGGGATGCCACCCGGGCCTTCATGATTCTTTCCCTCCTGGCTTGTTTCATTGGTATCGTGATTGGCATCATGGCCTTTATCCACTACTCCTCCTTCGATGGGTTTGACAAGACATTTGCAGCTGGGATCCTCTTCTTCATCTCTTGTAAAAAAAAAAAAAAAACACTAATAATCATACTGGTCTGTCTCTCTCTCTGCTGCACTGAAACTGATATTTGCTTAAAATCTCACATGCAGGCTTCTTTGTGCTGCTGGCAATGGCCGTCTACACCGGGGTGACAGTGAATTACTATGGGAAACGCTATGGCAGCTGGCGATTCTCCTGGTCCTATATAATGGGTTGGGTGGCGGTGGTGCTCACCTTCTTCTCAGGTGCAGACCTTAACACTATTTTGCTTGGTTTAATATTTCACTCTTATTCATCATGCTTTCTTTTTAGGTATCTTCTACATGTGTGCCTACCGGATGCATGAATGCCCAAGAAACTCTAACCCACGCTGAAACGCTTACTACTACAGCCACTCATACCTCTACCAATACATGGCTAAGATCAACGAATGCAGATGGCCATTTTTCCAACAACATACTGTTAATCAGTACAATCAATAAGAAGCTAAATAAATGTGAATTGATCATTTGTCTAGTTTTTAATGTCTGTTCTAATATGAATCCTACTTATAGCAGCATTGCAGCTGATGGACCTCAGATCCACAACAGAAAATCAATGGTGGTAATAAATGCAACAAATACCCTAAAGTCTAAGATAAATTAGATTAAAATAATTATAGACGGGTCTATTCATTTGAATAGTTAGCACTACAAAATGAGTTTTCTTGAATAATAGTACGAGAGATCCGTTCATTTTTCAGGAGCGGTTGCAGAGCAGAACCAGCTCTGCTGATAATCAGTAAAATCCTATTTCTATCCTTAAATTTTGGTAACTGGTCTCATAACTGGTGATGTTCCTCAAGAATCCATCTGGATTCCACTTTTGACATTATGTAGCCATCCTTTCGGTCAGTTGATTAGGTTATTATGCGAATTAGTCAGATGTTAAATGCCATTGAACACACATGACCTTACAACAGTAGAATGTTCTGAACGTCATTAAAAGATTGAAACACTAAATTGCTGCCATTTAGATCCTCTGACATCATCTTCAGGTGTTAAGCCAGGAAAGTCAGAACTGCCCCTATATAGATCAAATAGTTCAAACTAAATGTTCTTTATCATTGACATCACCCCTGAGTTTATCAAATTATTTTCTAATAAGTCTTCAGATATTTTGCAGACAGAAATCAGAAGTCTCAATTTTAAATTAATAGGTTTCTTTTAGCATTGTTTTAAAACCATTATGTTCCAGCACACTTTTTTTTTTTTTCATACAAGTTTTCAAAGTGAATTGTTCATTAGATAACTGCACCGATCTACAGATTTTAATCTGCTACATATAATTGTGTAGTAGAAGCACTTTTATGGAGTGCAGGTGGCAAGAATATAACACAAGTTTAAATATATTTTAGACTAAATCTTAAACACAGGGGTTTAAGCCACAATATCCAAGACTTTCTGAGTAAAAATACTTCAAAAGATGTGTCCTTTTAAAATAGCTAAAAGGCTTAAAAGAAACCACAGTAGTCTAAAGTAACATTTTTTTATTTGATCTTTTTCTGTAAAGCACTGTACAGTAGATACAGGTCAAACACAGAGTTACCAACATTAACACTTTGTGGTAATATTAACAAACAGTTTAACTCAAACCTGGGAAAATAAATAAATGGTGCCATGAACAACTGCAGTTATGGGTTCACTCTTCAGAACATTTGCTGTGAAAATAAGGCATTTTGTGACATCAAGTAAACAGAACAACTGAACAGCCTCCTGTAGTTTAGTCGACCTCCTCGATGGTGGGGCCAGAAGATGCTCCTCCTGCTCCAGGAGCTCCACCAGCTCCTGGCATCCCCCCTGGCATCCCTCCTGGCATCCCCCCAGCACTCTGGTACAGCTTGGTCATGATTGGGTTGCACAACTTCTCAAGCTCCTTCTGCTGGTGCTCAAACTCTTCTTTCTCTGCGGTCTAAACAAAAGAACGTTATAGTTTAATATTCTACTTTAAGTTCTATATAAAGTTGATATGGCGAAGAGTTTTAGGTGAACATTATCCACCATGCAAATTAAAACTTAAACCCTCTGTGGCCTCTTCCGATTACGGGACGCTTGTATAAAATTAAAATGCTGGGATCATGTACAGATGTACCATTACTGGTTGGTAGTTGCAGTAGTATCACAAACAGTGATACTGACTGTCAACCTCATATAGTATATTATATTTTCATCAATATTACTAGTATGCCGGGATTAGTTATCACTTTCTCAAATGTAGAACTTAGATATATGGTCATATTAACACATCAGCTTCTATTACAGCTGTATTAATGAGACAAAACATGATTTACTTCAGTAATAAGAAAAAAAAAAACATCTACAATAAGCACTTAAAATCCATTAAAGAATTCAGTGCAATAACTGTCATGCTGTGAAAGTTGCAGATGATCAAACTCATACCTGATTTCTATCCAGCCAGCTGATGACCTCGTTACATTTTTCCAGGATCTTCTTCTTGTCCTCCTCACTGATCTTGTCCTTCAGCTTCTCATCCTCAACTGTCGACTTCATGTTGAAAGCATAAGATTCCAGACCATTCTTGGCTGCAACCTTTTCCCGCTGCACATCATCTTCAGCCTTGTACTTCTCTGCTTCCTGAACCATACGTTCAATATCCTCCTTACTCAAGCGGCCTGTGAAGAGGAGAAAAAGGGGTTAGAATAAAAATAAATAAATACTTCTAGGTATAGACTTAATGAAAAGAAGAGAGTTCTTACCTTTGTCATTTGTGATAGTGATTTTGTTCTCCTTTCCAGTGCTCTTGTCGACTGCAGAGACATTCATGATGCCATTGGCATCAATATCGAATGTTACTTCAATCTGAGGAACTCCTCGAGGTGCTGGAGGTATTCCAGTCAGATCAAATTTCCCCAGCAGGTTGTTATCTTTGGTCATGGCCCTTTCTCCCTCAAACACCTAACAACAGATGATCAGTAAGGTTACGTCTACAGAAATGTGTTTTTATTTGGTAAAGATTAACATGAACAGATGGCGGTCTAACCTGAATGAGCACACCAGGCTGGTTGTCTGAGTAGGTGGTGAAGGTCTGGGTCTGCTTTGTGGGAATGGTGGTGTTCCTCTTGATTAGCACGGTCATGACTCCACCTGCGGTCTCGATTCCCAGAGATAGAGGGGTGACATCCAGCAGCAGCAGGTCCTGAACATTCTCTGATTTATCACCGCACAATATGGCTGCTTGGACAGCTGAAGGGAAAACAAGAATAAAAAAAATTTAGTGCTACAAATAAAACTTTTAAAGGTTTGTTTTATATAAAGCCTGAATTCCACATACCTGCACCATAGGCCACTGCCTCATCAGGGTTAATGCTCTTGTTTAGTTCCTTCCCATTAAAGAAGTCCTGCAGAAGCTTCTGGATCTTTGGAATACGAGTTGACCCTCCCACCAGGACGATGTCGTGGACCTGAGCCTTGTCCATCTTGGCATCTCGGAGAGCCTTTTCTACAGGCTCCAGCGTTCCTCTAAACAGGTCTGCGTTAAGCTCCTCAAAGCGAGCCCTGGTGATGGACGTGTAAAAATCGATGCCCTCATATAGGGAGTCAATTTCAATGCTGGCCTGAGTGCTGGAGGACAGGGTACGCTTGGCTCTCTCACAGGCCGTGCGCAGGCGCCGCACTGCCCTCTTGTTGTCACTGATGTCCTTCTTGTACTTGCGTTTGAACTCAGAGATGAAGTGGTTCACCATGCGGTTGTCAAAATCTTCACCACCCAAATGAGTGTCGCCTGCCGTAGATTTCACCTCGAAGATGCCGTCTTCAATTGTCAAGATGGACACATCAAAAGTGCCACCACCAAGATCAAAGATGAGAACATTTCTCTCAGAGCCGACCTGAAATTAAAAATAAAGACATTAACAACTTGCTTAGCCGGTTTACATCCCACTGCTTATGCTGTAGGACTGCACTTCTGACTACAGAGCAATGCAGACCGATCATTCCTGATTTATTTCTTTTTTAGACCCGAAAAACACCATTTCTAAAGTCTGTAACAGAAAATCATTATGTTCTATTAGAGAGAATTCATCTCTAGCTTGTGAATGTGAATTGAGGTGTCTGATTGCTGGATTTAAAAATGGCAAATCTAATAAAGTTATTAAATTATGAAAATAAATGAATACAGAATATTTAAATTCACCATAAAATGAGTTACAGTTGTGCTCATCTGTTGCTACAGCAACAAGAAACAACGCTGACATTACATTTCAATAACTTAAAACAAAACATTTTAACATCTAATTGATTAGAAAAAAAACAACAAAGCATTCAAATTAAGAATTTCTCATAATTTTTTTAGAACTGCTCATAACATTTTACCTTTTTGTCGAGGCCATAAGCGATGGCAGCAGCTGTGGGCTCATTAATAATTCGCAGGACATTCAGCCCAGAGATGGTCCCAGCATCTTTGGTAGCCTGGCGCTGGGAGTCATTGAAGTAGGCGGGTACAGTCACCACAGCATTTGTAACAGTCTGAAAAACATGACAGGTAAGACATTATATAGAGACATTCTGAAAAGTGATTTTACACTCAGTTTCTCAACTTTTCCATGAGGCCATAAATAAAAAAAAATAAAAATAAACAAAAATCTAAAAAAAAAACCCAAAACAGGCCTCCATATTTGCATGACTCTAGATATCAGATAAGAAAACCAGTTATTTTGGATGTGAGCCTTTCTATTTTCTTTTTTTGTTCTCATTTGATAAATTATTGTAGGAAAAGTGTGGAAAACATTGTCACAAAATAAAATTTGACTAAATGAAAACCAGGTAAGATTTTGATGACTAATGGTTAATTCCTGTTCAAAGACACTTCATCTTTGGATAACCAAATAAAAATAAATAATTTATCTGGGTTAAAACATGCATGGGATAGGTTATTTAAGAATCTATCCCATCAACCTATAATAAACGTTTTGCATACTGTTGGTTTACTGGATCCAGCTAATCAATAATCTCACCAAGAAGAATTTGCTTTTTGTCACTACAGTCTCAAACATGGATTTCGTGGAATCCAGCCATGGAAATTATTTCACTTTAGGTTTACTTATGGAAACAAATCCACCATTAAGTGATGGCTTTCATAAAATTTGAGGACTTACTAATGCACTAATAACAAAAATGAATAAGACTCTCTGCAGTTACGCATAATTACCTTGCCAAGATAAGCCTCAGCAATCTCCTTCATTTTTAGCAGCACCATGGAGGAGATCTCCTCAGGGTAGAAGGTCTTTGTCTCCCCCTTGTACTCCACCTTCACTTTGGGCCGAGTGTTATCATTAATGACTGTGAAAGGCCAATGTTTCATGTCTGACTGGACAACGGCGTCATCAAAACGGCGCCCAATCAGCCGCTTTGCATCTGAGGAGACAGGAGAGATGTAAAACAGTCAGTTTTTTTACTTCTTAAATCAGGTGACAGCTCATAACTTTTTAAAAGTGCAGAAATCTTACCAAACACTGTGTTATTGGGGTTGAGGGCCACCTGATTTTTGGCAGCATCTCCAATTAGCCTCTCTGTGTCAGTAAAGGCTACATAACTGGGTGTGGTCCTGTTCCCCTGGTCATTGGCAATGATTTCGACCTTACCATGCTGAAACACTCCTACACAGGAGTAGGTGGTGCCCAGGTCAATTCCTACTGCTGGTCCCTTTGACATGGTTCCTAATAGAAGGAGAAAAATATTATTAGCCAAAAACCAAGACTCAAAAGCACATCAGCATGTCACCAATGAGATTATATAGCTTTCAAGTCCTGTGTAAGGCTGGAGCTATCATGAGTGAAAAGGAAAAATCCAGAACACTTAAAAATGCTCTTAGCCTTTTAAAGCCTAACAACAGGCCTTTATTATAACAACAAACAAATATGAGGCTAAAAGTATTTCAACAATGTTCAATGTATTCCAAAAACCAAGAGCTTGATGGGTTTATATCAAGCAAAACAAGTTGACCAATCTAGTTTTATTAACAACAGTACAGAAACGGACAAAGAACAAAGTTTTAAAAACGAAAAAAAAATGTGTAATGTAGTGTACAGAGAAAAGGTTTTCGGGGATACGTAAATATGTCGCCATCTGCTGGCAAACACAAAGAATACAGATTTGGAAAAAAAAAAACTATGATAAGGGCTTTACAAAAATTTTAAATTAAGCTTGTTAAAATTTAAAACATTGTTCCAATAACTTGACTGCAATGAAATCTGTGTTTTTTTTCTTCAGTTGTCTTACTTGCTTTTGAGGTTTGAGTTATGTTTTTTATTAAAACGTGTGTAATGAAAAACTTTTAGCTATTAAAATAAAAATAAAGAAAAATCAAGCAAACGTGAAAGTTTCCTTAAATTTTATTAACAAAAAAATAAAAAAAAACCTAGAAGCAAAAAAACAAAAACAAAAAATATAACCAGAAAGTCCTATGTCGTTTGTTTGTATACAATTATTTAAAGGAGATTTGCTCCTCTTGCAACCTTATTAGGTTAAATTCTGTCTGAGAGCAGGGGTGTAGCCTCACGCTAGATAAAAATGTACATGCTCCTCTATTCCAAACTATGTGGAGCAGCTGCAGTTCAGGGGGTGTGTCACTTAAACCGTCCTCAGAAGTTCTGGAACTTACTTTGAAACTCATCAAGAAAATTAAATTAAAGCTTCAGTTAAAAAAAAAAAGGTTTAAAAATAGTGTTTAAGACATAACATCTGCTGTGTTTTTTTGTGTTTTTTTTATAGGTTTTCGGGAGAGGGGCTTCATTAATCGAAAATATAATTTACGGCATCTAAGACTAGCAAAAAAAGATGTCGATAGGAATTAAGTTTAAAAATAACCGCGTTAGAAACGTAGCTTTGATAAAGACGTTAGAAATGTAAGATTTACCGTTCATTTTTACCGGTTTTAATACAACCCAATCATCATAATATAACAAACACTGAATTACCTTCGTTGAATCGTAGCTTCTTCTCAAATTTCAGGGACTGAAATCAATACCCTTGATAATTTTCTCTGTGCAGAAAATCTGGATGTAATTCGTTCCTCGCCCCGGTTGTCTAGGTGATTTTCCTCTCCACGCGAGACCTGCCTCTGCCACGCGGGTCGCGCCTACTCTTGATAAACAATTGCTCACAGAACTCTCTGGAACACAGAAGACAGGCTGGCCAATCATCTGCCGTTCATTCTCTCTCAACCCCCAAAAATCGACCAATCAGAAGGCTCGCCACACCAGTTGCTACATGGAAATATTTGAGAATTTCTCTTTAAACAGTGGAAGTTTCTAGTAATTACTAGCGAACTGCGAAAGGAAAGATCCAGTTGCAGCCATGGAATTCCACTTCAATTCACAGTTTGGGACACTATCACTGTATAATGTTTTTCCCCCTGTGTATGTATCATAATACAGATTATTTTTTTTTTATTTTTTAAGTTTTAGTTCAGTGTCTAGCAGAAGTATTTATGCAACTTGAACAGTTTTTTTCTTCTTTTTTTTTTTATTTAATTTAACAAAAAAATTAATTAATGTGATGCATGAGCAAAGCAGGGCATGTCAGTGACATGAAAATGAACATACTGCATGTTTATTATAAATATTTAGAGGCACATATACTAAACTCACATATACTAAATAAAATTTAGTACAACTAAATTATTATTTTAGAGGCTCCCTTAATTAATGTTCACATATTTGTAATATGCTCAGTTTAAATAAAACAACTTCTATGAAGGCTAATATTTTATTAATTAATACCTTTGTGGGTCATTTATAGTGTGAAATATATTTGAACAAGAAATTAAAAAGAAATGGAGACCTTATATGATTTTTCTTCTACTTCATAACTCAAAACATCTTTTTGTTGTGGTATCGGACAGGGCCGCTGGAAGTAATTTTGAACAGGGGCTGCTATAAATTTTTTTTGGGTCTTTTTTTGGACAAAAGACATTTGAGCCTATCTGCTTATTTAAAATACAGTAAAAAAACAAATAAATAAATAAATAGATTGAGATTCACTACTTCATTGTCATATACCAGTATATCAGTTCTCAGGTGAATATATGCACTCATAATTAGTCTTCACTATAAGAAGGTAAATTTGGTCAGCTGGCATGAACCTGATTCATTGTGTTTATGTCACATGTGACTCTATTCGCTCCAAAATCCTTTTACGCAAACCACAAAGAAATACTATCAATTTCTTAAACTATTTAAATGTTATTGAGCATATCCATTACACAAAGAACACAAGATCAACACTCTACTGTGGTTATGTTAAACTATATGAATAGATATAAAACTGCATGGGGGCACCATGCTCTTACTTTGAGCTACAGTCAGGTTTCTCAATATGTGCCCTTGTGCGATCTCATGTGCTCGTGTACTCGTGAAACGTTATCAGCCTCAGCCCTAGTACTTTTCCAATTCACAAGAACAGCAGACAGAGAACATACAAAGTCCCCGGATGTTGTTCTTGCCCCTCCCTATTTAATGAGTGTGCTGTCACTACCCGATCCGTTCCAGAAGTACGATCCATTCTCCACATGCGCTATCAGCTCATTTGTGCATGCGCATCAAGATATACATCCGGGTGGTCCTCGATTTTATTTAGTTAAAAATACTTAAATGACGTTTTTCCCTCCCCAAAAATAGTAAACGCACTACAATATAATGTGTTAAAGGTTAATAATGTATTTCTTGAGAAAATAAATGCCTTAAAATCCTTTCTGTTTTATCACTCGTCTCTGCCTGATCTGCATTGGAAATGGGATCCTACACTACTTCCAGTGGCTAGCTTTTTTAGCTTTGGATTTAAAACATAAATCTAGTCTTTTTGAGTTTTATGTTTTCGCTTCGTTTTAACCTTATGTTATATAGTGCGTAATCTAAAGAAAGAAACAACTAAAATGCAGATAAACATGGTTTAATCATATTTTGTCGGACTGCTCTCAGTGTGTCTGATGATGACGTCAAAGAAGCAGTTTAACGGAAAAAAATGCATAAAAATTCTCTCACAAAATTCATAAAACATTTTTTTAAATATGTGTATTAGCATTCTTTAGTGAGTTAAGGATAGAAATAAGTAGTTTTAGTCCATAATTACAGTATTTATGGACACCCGGGTGTACATCTATTCTCGCATGCACATTTGTGCTTCCGGGACGGATTGGGTAGTGACATGCATCCGAGCAGATTTGCCTGTTCTTGAGATTGACAGCGGTCCCAGCATGCACTGCGGCTACAGCAGCTTCCAAAGGAGCGCTGACAGAGTTCAGAGTATTATGTTAAAAGTTCTCTTTTCTGTTGCTGCTGTTCAATAAAAGTACATTTTAAGATCATTTGAGGCGAGAACATTATACTTTAAAGTGTCACTATATGGCTGGTTTACCAATTTAGTGCATAATGAAAAAAAAAATTTCCGAAGTTGAGAGGACCTTCGGCAACCAGCGGACCTCCGAGGGTAACGCCAGCCAGGGCTAATCCTAGTCTGTGTGCAGTAGTCCTCTCACGGTATAGCCGTGTGTGGAGTACCGCTGACTCTGATGGCAAGTTTTTGGTTTTATTTGGCAAAATGTTAATTTACTTTGTGTTTATTTGACTATGTTAAATATTATTCCCCCAATGAATGAAAAAATTAAGAATTTATTATCTAGAGACTATTAATAACAGGAAGTGAAATGCAGCTCCAGATAAGCTGAGCATGTGGTGACGTCACGAGTATGCTTCTGTTCCAATTGACCCATATTTATGCTGCATAGTCTCGGTTTCCCCAAGTCCACACTGTCCTGGGTTCTTGTCAAGAACATACTTGGCGAGGACACAAGTCCGTACTCACGTTGTGAATTGAGAAAAGGCTCCCCTGAGCGGACCTATCCAAAATGCGTTTCTGTGCAGTGTTTCCTCCTGGTTTCTATCATTAGACTATGTACATTTACTAGGCTGCTGCCATGAGCTGGATACTGCTAGCTTGCTTGACGTTACCATGACAACATAACTTCCAAGAACTTGTGTTAAATAGGCCTCAAAATAACGAAATTAAAATCCAAATACACATAATAGTGAAATTTAAAAAGTCAAAATCATTTCCAAAAATATTCTAAGAAATCTATAAATTGTGCAAAGTATTTTTAA